TTGCTCACTCCATTGCTTCCGAGCAGTGCACAACCTCCCCAGCTGGACATGGCATTCCTGCTCCTGAGTTTCCTGAAAAGATGTTGGGTGGTCCCAGGAAGTGTTTCCTGGCTCCTAAAGAGATACAGGGGGCCCTAGCTGGTTTGGCTCAGTGGATGGAGCGTCAGACTCTGTTTGTGGGCTCGATCCCCAGTGGGGGGAGTGTAGGAGGCAGCTGATCAATGATTCCTTCTCATCATTGATGTTTCTATCTCTCTCTCCCTCTCCCTTCCTCTCTGAAGTCAATTAAAAAAGAGAGAGAGAGAGAGAGAGAGAGAGAGAGAGAGAGAGAGAGAGATGCAGGAGGAGCCGTGGCCAGTGCGGCTCCATTGGTTGGGCGTGTCCCATGCACCGAAAGGTTGCTAGTCCGATTCCGGGTCAGGGCACATGCCAGGCTTGCAGACTGGATCCCCAGTGGGGGGGTGCCTCAGCTAATTGATGCTGAGGTAGCTCTCACATCGGTGTCTCTCTTTCCTCTCTTCTTCTAGCTCTAAAAATCAATTTTAAAATCTTAAGGGGAGCCCTAACCGGTTTGGCTCAGTGGATAGAGCGTCGGCCTGCGGACTCAAGGGTCCCGGGTTCGATTCCGGTCAAGGGCATGTGCCTTGGTTGCGGGCACATCCCCAGTGGGGGGTGTGCAGGAGGCAGCTGATCGATGTTTCTCTCTCATCGATGTTTCTAACTCTCTATCCCTCTCCTTTCCTCTCTGTAAAAAATCAATAAAATAAAAAATCAATTAAAAAAATCTTAACGGGAAACAAAGAGCGAGATACAGGAGGAGAGTTCTGTTCCTACTTCTGCCCTTCGCCATGGGAGGGGAAGGCTGGCAGGGGCTCCAGCCACATTGCCATCCGGGGCTGCTGCCACAGTGCCCAGGCCAGCAGTGTGGAAAGACGGCCCAAACCGGTGAACCTGGAGCCCGCGGCCCTCTCTGCCCACCCGGGAGCTGCCCCGTGGGCACTCTTGCCTGAGATGGCGGACTCCTGGCTGTGGAAGCCAGCTGAGCCGGAGTTCCGAGGTTCAGGTGAAATCACACGGATGAGTTAGAAGGAATTCTGAGACGGCCCTCTGAATTTCTGACATAAACCTGGAGCTCGCCGGTTTAGACCAGCAATCAGGGTCAAGGCAAGGAGAACTCTTTCTGGAGAAATGTTTGGGGATCCCCAATAAAGGGCAGAATGGCCTTGGCCGGTGCTGCTCAGCGGTTAGAGCGCCGGCCTGCGCAACGAAGGGTCTAGGGCAGCGGTTCTCAACCTGTGGGTCGCGACCCCTTTGGGGGTCGAACGACCCTTTCACAGGGGTCGCCCAAGACCATCAGAAAACACATATAATTACATATTGTTTTTGTGATTAATCACTATGCTTTAATTATGTTCAATTTGTAACAATGAAAAGACATCCTGCCTATCAGATATTTACATTACGATTCATAGCAGTAGCAAAATTACAGTTATGAAGTAGCAACAAAAATAATTTTATGGTTGGGGGTCACCACCACATGAGGAGCTGTATTAAAGGGTCGCGGCATTAGGAAGGTTGAGAACCACTGGTCTAAGGTTTGATTCCTGGTGAAGGGCACGTGCCTGGGTTGCAGATCCAATCCCATCCTAGCTGGGGCGTATGCTGGAGGCAACCAATCCGTGTGTGTCTCTTGCACATCGATATTTCTCTCCCCACCCCCCCCGCCCTTCCCTCTCTCCCTTCCACTCTCTCTAAAAATCAATGGAAAAAATATCCTAGGGTGAGAATTTAAAAAAAAAAGCGGCCCCTCAAAGGTGTCCATGCCTCAATTCCCAGACCCCATGACTATGTAATTCCCACGGCAAGTGGGGCTTTGCAGATGTGACTCCAGATGTGCGGAGGGGAGGATCACCCGCTCTCACCACATGGGCCGTGACGAGCAGAGAACCTGGCCGGGCTGGGTCAGAGCTGTGCTGAGGGAGGAGAGTCAGAGCTCTGAGGTGGAGGAAGAGGGCCCTGGCCGACGAGGGACGGAGACCTGAGGAGCTGGAAAGGCCAGGAAGCACCATCTCCGTCCTCCCAGAGAGGAGCGCAGCCCTGGGAACAGTTTGATTTTAGCCCAGGGAGACCCATGTCACACGTGCGACCTCCAGGATGGCAACACGTGTCAAGCCACTAAGTTTGTGTAGTTTGTACAGCAGCTGTGGAAAACTGATAGGCCCGTTGAGACACAGAAACCAAAGTATGTCCAGAGGAGATATGGCTCAGTCCCGCTCGCCCTCAGCCCCCGCAGTGGCGTCCTCAGATAAGGCCCGGCTGACGGGGTGGTGTCTGAGTGGGTTTGGGCAGCTGAGAGCCGCTTCCTGAGCCACAGATGGCCCTACCTAGCTGTGTCCTCTCAGGCAGGCAGGCTGCGGACACGGCCAAGACAGCTCTGTGAGTCTCTAAGGGCACCAATCCCATCCACGAGGGCCCCATCCTCCTGATCACCTCCATCCTGGAGCCCAGGTTGCAGCATATTAATTTTGAGGGGACACAGACGCTCTGTCTATAGTAGTTAGGGCTCCAGCTTCTCCTCATCCCTACAAGCCCGGCTGTCCCAGGGGTGGTGTGCAGGCGGGACCGGGCCTGTGTGGGTCACTGTCAATATCGCTGTGTACTGAGACTGGCCCAAAGCGGGAGCAAGGGAACTGGGATGAAGTCAGTCAGGTGTCTGGAGGCACCATTCCCACGGTGTTATCACGCATGTCTCGCTGGGGCGGCACCGGGAACACAGATGCAGGCTCACCCTCACCCTGAGACTATCTCCCATCCTCCTGGTTAGTCCCAGACACAGCATGGCGGGAGCAGGAGGGACACGAGACTGCAGACTTTTTAAAATAACTGCATCCTTTAATGGCAGTAATACAATTATTGGGTTAAGAGACCACAGGAGAAAGGGCAGGTGACGTTTCTGGAAGACAGATACAGAGTACAAAAAGGGGGTGGCATAGAGGCATGCGACGATCATTGTAAAAATACAGTACGTTATATACATATTTGCACCATCAACTTTCTGAAATAGTATTTACACTTTTGTTACAATCCTGGTTAGAGAACAAATTTTTTTTTTAAAAGCTTGGCCTGATGGCAAATGAAAATTTGGGGTAAGTTCATAGTCCCATGAGGTTCTTAGGCTGAATATCCAAGGAGGGCTCCAGCTTCTAATTCATCCACAAATTTGTTTTAAAAAATTATTTCCTTTTACAAAAGAAAATCCTCAGAGAAGGAAACAAACCCGCAGCCGCGCTGTCTTCTTACTTACTGTACAGACACCACGGCTGCGGCCCTCTGCTCAAGGCCAACACTGGCGGCTGAAGGGAAATATCACTCATGTTTAAAAAAAACGAAACAAAAAGACAAAGACAAACCAAACCAACCTGATCACGGCGCACTGACCCTGTGGGGCTGCCTCTCTGGCCTTCGCTTCTGGCCCCAAACACAACTATTTTTTTTCCGGGGAGAGGGGTTTGGTACAGCAGCCTTGTTCACCTCCCACCCCACGGTGCGGGGAGGGGGAACCCTTTGGCTGGGTCACCAGGTTTCCTCATTATTAGCAAGGGAGGGACAGGGGCCTGAAGCGAGGCGGCTGAGGCGGTGGGACGAGGCGGCGGAAGCCGGCAAGGACGAACACAGGTGGGAGGGGCCCCTGCGGCACAGGCCTTGCCCAGCTTCCCCAGGCCGTGTCCATGGGGGCTCGTCTGGAGCTGTGGACAGGGCTGGACCGGAGCCAGGTGCCGGGAGAAGCCAGTGCCGATGTCTGTTCCCTTCCCGGCTCAGCTGATCAGGGGAGCAGGACGCAGGTCTCGGGTTCCACACCCTCACCGGCGGAGGGGGGTCCTGGTGCCTCTCCCAGGGGAAGCCCAGCAACCCCCCTGCCATGGCTCCTCCCCAGTCTGCCCTCAGGCCCTTTTTAGGGGAGTGCCCACCAACCCCACACCCACATGCCTCTGAACTTGTGCACCTGTCGCTTAGAAGAAACCCAAACACACTGAGACCACGGCGCGAAGAGGGGCAAAGGGAGCAGAGAGAAACACTGCCAGACCAGCCAGGCCTCCTCCTCAGGGGCCTGGTGGCGGCCATGCCACGGATCCTTGAGCCGTCCCCAGGGGCACCAGGGCCAGCACTGGCACTCTGGCTTCTGAGGAGCAGGACAGCCCCTGGCACGAGGGGAGAAGGGCATGGCCGCCCGGACAGGAGGGGCTAATACTGACGGAAAACGCCATCTGCAGCGCTGCCTCCCGGAAGCAGCAGGGGGCCCTGTCCCAGCCTCTCACCCTGGCGCCTGCGGTCGGGGGCCTGAGGTGCGGGCTCAGGGTGAACTCTGGGCTGAGGCTGGCGAGGGACCAGGCGCGAATCCAGAGGCGAGGCGATGCGGCAGGAAGGGGTTTTGTCTCTTCCAGGGCGGCTCCCAGGGCTCTTTTCCTTTCCTGGATAATCTTTCGCCCCCCACTGGCCCCTAAGCGGGTCCTGCCTCGGTCCGGCTACATCTCGCCTCCTCATGCAACACGTGAGCAGTGCTCAGGGCCTTCTCAACACCTTTGTCCTGCAAGGAGGGGGGAGGAGGGGCCAAGCTGTGTCCAGAAAACCCCCTGGACCCCCAGTCTTCAAGGAGTCCCTGAAAATTGGGCCGGCCAGGCAGAACACCAGCTGGTGACTTGCAAACTGTTCATGTGCACAAGTAGGTTTTCTTGGTGGGAGCCCGGAGCCCTGCAGCACTGACGAGAACTGAAGATGGTTATATACAATTTATATGTTTTAAAAAGGAAGTATTACTTAAAAAAAAGGGGGGGGGGGCAAGAGCGAGAAAGAGCATAGAGCAAAAGAAAAAAAGAAAAAGAGGGAAAAGTAAAGAAAGAATACCCAGGCGCCCCCTCCCCCCAAGTTCCCAACTCTGGATGCTGCACTTAAATATTGCCCTAGGAAGGGTGGGTGTAGGGACAGCTCCGCCCGACCTCACACTACTGGCAAAAGGGGGAGGCGGTGGGGTCAAAGCCTTTAAAAACATCCTTCAGGGACCCCGCGTCCTGCTCGCCCTCTCGGGCGGGGCTGTTGCCAGCGAACGGGCTACTGGAGCCCGTCTTAGGCGCCTGCTTCACGGTCCCGAAGAGGGTGGGCACTGGCAGGTTGTGCACGCCGGGCCAGGGTGGCGCGCCCTCTGGAGGGGGGGTGCCTGTGGTGGCGGCAGGGGTGGCAGCAGCCTTGGGCCGGGGCCTGTTGTAGCTGTTGTATCGGTCCCTGGCTGTGGTGGAGCCCCCGTCCGCACAGGCCTTCCCTGGTTCGGGCTGTTCCAGGGCAGACTTCCGGACAAATGGGGGCTCCTTGGCCTTGGCCGCCGAGCTCTTGCCATTGCCCTCGGAGCCCTTGGGCTGGGCAGCCCTGTCAGCAGCAGGCTCTGCAGCTTTACCACCTGCATTGGGAGTCCTGGGGTCATAGAGGCTGATGCCACTCAGCACGCGGCTCTGCCAGCTCCCACTGCCCTGGCCCAGCCCACCAGCCGCCAGTACTTGGGGGTCATAGGGGGCGGTGGCTGGGGGAGAGGACTCCCCACTGGGGCTGGCAGCTGGAGAGGGCACTTCAGCAGAGCCAGGCTTGGCGGCGCGGGAGGGGGCAGCAGAGTCTGCTGGTTTCTGCAGCCGAGGGTCAGTGGGCGCCTTCCGCACCCGGGGTCGCTGGGCTTGTCACTGGGGCCGGGAGCAGCAGAGGGGCCAGTGGCACTGACCGTCTTGAGGATTCGAGAGAGGAGCTCGAAGTCAGGCAGGCTGGAGCCGATGAGCCGGGGTCCGTGGAGGTGCCTGAGCGCTGCCGGGGGTTGGAGGGACCCACAGTGGAGGCCCGATGCAGCCTGGGGTCCAGGGCAGGCATGGACTGCAAGGCCGCAGGGACGGGGGGCAGGATATCCTGCTTGGGGACGGGCAGGGGGATCCGGTCCTCGGGGTTCCACCGCACGGTGCGGGCGAGGCTCGGCTTGCTCAGGGTCACATCCTTCTTGATGTGGCTGAACTGCTGCAGCTGCGACCGCGGGTCCTGCAGCGGGTGCCCGGGGAGGGGGTCCAGGGGAATGGTCACGGCCTTCTCCCGCAGGGCCCGCTCCCCTTCCTCCTCTTCTGCAGGGGGCGGCCCAGACCCCTTGGCGCCGCTGGGGCCCGCGGGGCCAGAACGAAGGGAGCCTTCGGGCTTAGGGGCAGGCAGGGAGCGAGCCAGCCGAGGGTCAGAGGGTCCCTTGTCGCCGGGGCCTGACCCGCTGGAGGCCTCAGTGTGGCGGGTGAGCCTGGGGTCCCGGCTGAGGCGGGGGTCAGCCAGCCGGCCTCCTGTGGGGTGTCCCTTCTGGAGGCGGGGATCCCCCAGCCCACTGCTGCTCAGCTCCCTGACAGAAGCCTGGGGTCGGTTGGACGTCTGCTGCCTCAGGGTCTTAAGGATGGAGGTGACGCTGTTCCCACCGTCGTCCTCGTCACTTGAGTACCAGTTTCCAGTGTCACCTGAGCAAGAGCAGAGGAGCAGGGAGGGGGTGAGTGGCCACCACATCCACCCTCTTGGACCCCCGGCAGCCCGCTGGGTGAACACCTCTGCCTCTTACCTCTCAGAACCTCACCTCTCCTCCCTTAAGAACCCCGTCCCCTGCCACGAACAGCCCGTGAGCTCAGGCCAGTGAGGTGCTGACCCTGGAGGCCGCTGGCTGACATTTCTGCACCTTCCTCGAGCGCGGGCACTGAGCTAAACGCTTTGTCTTATTGATTCTCACAAACACCCGGGAAGCAGTGTTACTGGCCCATTTGACAGATGAGAAAAGGGAGGTGTGAACTGTGCCCTGAGATGGGGGCAGAGCTCAGACTGAGCTCAGGCTCCAAGCCTAGGGTGCCGTCACCCCCTGGGCAGGCTCAGGCCCCTCTGACTCAGCTCCCACTATGCCTGGGGCTCACAGACACTTGCCCCCAGGTCCCCAAGATTACCACATCCCAGGGAAGGGCAGCCACAGGCTAAGAGGCGAGGCCAGGTGGGCAGACACGGAAACTAGCCCAAGTCCAACCTCCTAAGCAGATAAAACTGGAGCCACCAGAGGAGGGCGCTGCCCCCTCATCCCACGGTCCCCACTTGCTCCCGGGCTCTTGTCATGGCCACCTAAACACCATCTGTCCTCCCCATTTCACCCTGGGGATGCCACCAGCTCACTGCACAGCCCCATGGAACTTGGCAGCTGTGTGACTGATCATTACTGGCTATGTCGACCAGCTCTCATCTGCTGGCTTCCTGAGAACAAGGGGCAAGGGGTGTGTGTGAGCATCTTTCTACAGCCTCCTCGGTAAGGGTGCAGGGGGTAAATCGAGCCAGCTCCTGTCTCCTCTAGGGACCAGACCACCTCCCTCCTTGATGGGATCAGGTCTCTCCCGACCCCCAAGGCACAGAGGGCAGCCCTGACTTCCGATTTCCTGAGGGACATGCATCAGCCCGAGCCTGGTTCCCAGCCTGAGGCAGGGTCGTCCCTGGCCACAGGCTCCCTTTCAGTGCAAAACCCCATCGAGGTGTTCCCCATCTTTCCCCTGCACGGTGCCCGGGGCCTGCGCCCTCAGGGAAAGCCCTGCCCCTGGGGAGGACACATGCCTTCCTCATTCTCCCGGTCCTGCTTGCTGCTCTCAGCCAGCCTCCTCGCTCTCTCCTCCTCCTCCTGCTGCTTCTGCTGGATCCTCAGGTACAGGGCCCTCTGGGCTGAGGGCAGGAAGTCGGGGACACCGGCGCCCGGCTTCGGCCGGCCTGCGGGCCCTCCCTCAGAGAAGCTGTCGGGCTCCAGAGGGTGCTCGGGGAAGAGGTGCTCCCCAGGCTCCCCCGGCAGCTCTTCGTAGTGCCCGTAGTCCTCTGTGGCAGGGAAGAACCGAGGGTTCGTGTCGGGAAGGGCCTTGAGATGGCAACTCCAACCCACCCATGCCCTCAACTGAGACCTCCCCTGATGGCGATGGCGATGGGTGAGATGTGCAGCCCGTCCCTTCCTACCATCCCAGGACGTCCCCACAGAAAGCCCACAGCGAGGACCGCAGCAGCCAACCTAGCATGCAGCCAGGGTGACCACGGGGTTCACAGTGAGGTTTGGTGACATGGCAAACGCTCACGACGTGAGAACAGGACGGAACGTCATACAGATGTTTGCAAAATGCAAAGAAAAGGCTCTAGAAAGACAGACAGGAAACAGTCTCTTAGAAATGAGATTCCGGAGACGGGCTAAGAGGTCTCTTCACTTTCACTCCACACGCTCTGACCTGCGTGTTTACTTGCCACGAGCACTAGTTTTAGGGTTTGTTTGTAATAATCAATAAAGAAGAACACGATCACATTGGGAGGTCAAAACATGAGCGTAACACCTGGGAACGAGGGTCGTAAAGGAAAGAAGGGAAATAGACCAAACGGTGCTGAGTGAAAGTAAGCCGGTCAGAGAAAGACAGACGCCACGTGACCTCACTTATGCGTGGAATCGAATGAACAAAATAAACTGACCAATAAAACAGGTCCAGAGACAGGAAGCATGAGACAGACTGACGGATCTCAGAAGGAAGTGGGAAGGGGTTACAGAAGAGATTAGCCGAAGAACATACACACTCACATGCACAGCCCATGGACAGACAATAGCGGGGTGAAGGCCTTGGGGGGGGGCGGCGGCTGGGTGGAGGGGACAGAGGTGGGGGGAGGTGGGGGACATCCATAATACTCTCAACAATAAAAAACAACATGTTGCTACGGACACCTGTCAACCCAGAAGCTCCTGCTGCTTCCTCTTCCTGCACTCCGTGAACATGGGTACGCTGCTGCATTTAAGGAGGGGGCGCAGCATGGTGGGCGGGGGACGATACACCTGGAGGCTGTGTGTGTGTGTGTGTGTGTGTGTGTGTGTGTAATTCTCTCAGAGATGGAGAAATTCCAGTGAGCGCTGCCCACAGAATGTTGTACGATGATGAACGTGCCGTACACCCACCACTGTCCTCACGGGGCTAGTGAGCAACTGAAGTGGGGCCAGTAAGAGAGGAGCTGTAATTTAACTTTATATACAGAACAATTTCATGTATGTGGAGAAAGCAAAAGGCCACGTTGTTCTGGCCACTGAACTTTGTCACGTGAACTTGACCGGCAAGCCTGACCTGTGCCACACCCGGGCTCGGGGCGGGGACAGCTGGACACTCGGTGAGCAGTCCCAGTGCCCCCTGCTTGGAATTTTCACCAAGAGTGATTCACTGCCCGGCCGGCGAGGCGCAGGTCAACAGATGAACCAGGAGGTCACGGTTCAGTACCTGGTCAGGGCACATGCCTGGGTTTCAGGCTCAATCCCCAGAAGGGGGTGTGCAGGAGGCAGCTGAGCAATGATTCTCTCTCATCATTGATGCTTCTCTCTTTCCCTCCTACTTCCTCTCTGAAATTAATAAAAAATATATATTTTTTAAAAGATGGTTGTGCACCTGTGAATACAGTAAGGACTCACTTAACGTTGTTGACAGGTTCTATAACAAACCATTTCACCAGAGGCTAATGGATACAAACAGCTAAGTTCCCAGGGCACCTCCTCAGCGCTCTAACGGAAGGCCGTGGAGCGCACGTCACTGGAGGACCTGCCGTGCCGTGAAGCACCGAGCAGCACACTCTGTAGGACTTCCTGGCGTGGGGATTTAAGCTAAGCCAGTTCCTCTCTGTGCTGTTCACAGCTGACAGACTTGCTTTTCTCCCACCCTGACCTCTGGCCCTGCAGTTTATATGCATGTTTACAGGTGGCGGGGGTTGTGGGAACATCACCTCTCAAGCAACCTGTTTTTCTCACTTGAGAACCTGTCACATCTTTCTAAAGCCCCTGCTCCTCACCCCAAACACCTGCTCTCGCCGCTTCGAACACCATCTGGACACCAATGGCACTCACATCGACCTCCAGCCTGTCCGATCCGCCTCAACATGTCTGAGGCGTGGCTGTCAAATGGGCATCTCATCCTTAGTGCTGCCCCACCCACCTCAGCTCTCCAGCAGGGCTTCCTGGTCAGGGCGGCGTCAGCACCCATGGAGGCTGCCCCTGGCCAGCGCCCCATCCACGCCTGTCCATCTTGTAACACATATATGAGGGGTCATGCTGGCCCATGGCATCGTCTCCAAACTGAGAAGCCAAGCCCTGCTGCTCCCTGCTACCTCCAGCTGCCGCCTGGCTCGCCTCTGCCCAGGAGGACCCCACGCCCGCCCGACCACCCACTGCCCTCTCTCCTCTGCTTGTCCCTGTCACTCTTCCAATGAGGTCACCTCGCCAGGGTGACAGCGTTCCTGCTGCACTAGGACTCCTCTCCCTTGTCCTCCCTTTCCAAAGCACTCGCTGCTTTTGCTTTTCTCAAGCAAGCTGACTGGCTGGGGCCTCTGCCCTGGCTGTGCCTCCCGCGTGGGCTGTGCGCCCTGTAGCTGCCGCCTCCCTTCCTGTCCCAGCTCACTCCCAGTTACTCCTCAGAGAGGCCTCTGCCCACTGACCTCACCGTGTCCAGACCCTCCTGGCCCACCCCCCACCGCCACTCTCCCCACCACTGTTACTTCTAGCCACGATCAATGCCAAAACGAGCTTGTGTACTTATGTACACATGTCCTGCCCGTTTCCCTCCACTCCAGTGAAGCTAAGGCCAGGACCGGGGCTGTCTCGCTGGCTCTGACCCCAGGACTGGAGCAGCCGCACAGGCCGCAGTGGGCAGACCCCTTCCTCCTGAAGGCTGCACACTACCTCCTACGGCCACGCGGCTGTCATTGCCAATGAGTGTTGTTATTTTAACAGGAAGGGAGGAGAGAAGGAAGGAGGACGGTCAGACGCGGGGACAGAACAAGCAGAACCACGAGGCTGACGCTGGCGGCCCCAACCCAAGAAGCGCCTGGAGGAAGGCTGTCTGGTGAGGCCACCTCAGCCCCTCAGCCCCGCCCCTCCCACCCCTGACCCTCGATGTTCCCGTGCGCCCGATTCCAGGCAAATGTCCGAGGCTAAATTACAGTGATAATAACCATAATATTCCTTTCAGTCTCAACAGGGTAGTGACTCTCACGAAAAACATTCAACCACTCATGGGACAGAGATGGAGTTGGATTCATGCTTTCAAAGGCTGGGAGAAGAGAGATCGAATTTTCCTGACTATGTTCCACGGTGTAAGCCCAGCAACCCCACCGGGCCCACAGGCCTTGCCTACCTGCGTCCCCCATGAGTCCCGGCTCCATCTCCATGCCTTCCTGCTGCTGGTAAAAGTTCTCATAGAAGTTCTGGGCTGGTGGGATGAGGGGCATCATTCCAGAATGTGGGGAGTCTCCAGGGCCATAAGGCATCATTGGGGGGCCACCATGTCCCATGGTCAGGCCAGGGTTCATGCCAGGGCCCATCGGCATGTCGGGGTGCATGTCGGGGTGCATGTCAGGATGCATGTCCGGGTGCATGTCGGGGTGCATGTCGGGATGCATTGGGCCCCCCATTGGCCCCGGGGGTCCCATATTGGGCCCAGGGCCCATCGGCCCGGGGGGTCCTCCAGGTCCAGGGAACCTAGGAGAAGGAGGAAATGGTGTCTATGAGAGGGGTGCGAAGAAGGGGTGGGGGGGTCACACCCGAGATGTGGAGGCCTCCACATGGTGCACAGTGGATGGCTCTAGACCAAGGTTGCCAATTGGTGGTCCGTGGACCACTGGTGGTCCGGGAGGTCTGAAAGGTTGGTGACCACTGCTCGAGACCAGGCCTCCAATCGTTTTTGGAGGCAGCAAGCTGCCCTGACCAGGCTCACAGTGACAGGTCCCGGCACTCACCTCACACCCAGCTTCTCAGCCAGCTGTCCTGTGGGCCGAACCACGATCTCAAACAAGGAGGGGATCTTCTTGTTGTACAGGTCCTGCTGCTGCTGCAGCTGCTGGGGGGACAGCGGCACATGCACCGGCATGGGCATCTGCGGGGGTCCAGGGGGTGGAGGAGGGCCGCCCTGCATGGGCCTGCCGTTGGGAGAGGTTGGGGCAGGGGGGCCAGGGGGCCGAGGCGGAGTGGGCAGGAGGCCCACCCCGGGGGGTGGTTTGGGCAGGGGGTTGATGCCCTGCTTCTTTAGTTCCTCAACTTCCTTCTCATCCTCGGCGCCCGCTTCCGCATCGTCAGCCAACATCTGCGGGTGGAAGGATAAAAGGGGGTGCAGTCAGGACAGGAGTCAGGTGCAGGGACCCCTCCAGAGTGGAGAGCTAGATTTACTGAGGAACACTGAATCCCAGGGACCCTGAGGAAGCCTTACAGCGTAAGGCCAATGACCACGAAGTCTCTAGCACATAAACCACCCCCTCACCACTGCTGGTCCCCTGTGACAGTGGGCAGGGGAGCCACTCCTGTCCCGCAGCAAAATACAGTACAACACGTGCAATTCCACCCGTTTAAAGTGTATATTTCAGTGGCATTAAGTACCTTCATGAAGCTGTCCATCCATCAGCTGTCTAGTCCTAGAACTTTCCATCACCCAAAAGAAGCCCCTTACCCACAGCAGTCACTCCCCACTCCGTGGCAGCCACTAATCTGCTTTCTGTCTCTAGAGATTTCCTGATTCTGGGCATTTACAGAAATGAAATCCTATAATACGGGGTCTTTTGTGACTGGCTTCTTCCACTCAGCATGAGTTTTCAGCCCGTGGGCAGCGTGAGTCATGTATATGGCTGGCTGATGGGCCACCATCCTCTTTGGATTTTAAAAGCCTCTCACTGCACTTGCCATCAAACCCCCACGGGGCCTGGCGGCAAGACTGGGTGCTGGGGAGGCAGCTTCATTTCCTTCCCTGTGCCCCCGACTCAACCCCAGCGCCCGGCCCCGTGGCAGTCTGCTGACAGCCAAGCTCTGCCCTGCTGGCCGCCCTGGACTAGGCCCCTCCCCGGCATCTGCATTTCCCTCTATTCCCGCGTGGCCCCATGTCCCCATGGACGGTCTTATTAAAGGTCAACAGTGACTGTCCAGGTCCCTGCATTCACTCTGGAACACCACTAGCTCCCTTCCAAGCACTGCCCAGCTCGGCAAGATCACGTTTTACTGCATCCTGTGTATTCCTGGCTCGGCTCAGGCTGTCAGCTCCACGAAGGCAGGACTGTTCTACGCCCTGAGGGACCCAGGGCCCGGCAGAGGCTTGACGGGCAGACAGACAATGTCAGAGTCTGGATTTGAGCAGCCTGTCCCCCCAGTGAGGGTCCTGTGCAGGACAGCAGGCCTGACCGCTCTCCTTGGAAGGCCTCGCAGTGCTGGCCTTCGGCTGGTGTCTGGGAACCTGACGGGTAAGAGGGCTCCCTGCGCCTGACCTCCCTGTGCTTCCTGCCGGACAACCCCTTCCCTCTGCGAGTCTGGAATCTGGCACATGCCAGGCAGAGGCTGCACACATTACCAGCTCCCAATAAAGACCCTGCGCTCCGAGCCCTAATGTGCTTCCACCCCGGGACGCGGGACCTCTGGGCAGGTGCCAGGCAGTTCTTGGCCTTTCTCTCCCCTCACCACCAACGGTGTCTGGGCCCTTGGCTTCAAGGGGGTGGAAAACTGATCAGTGGAAAACACTTGTTCCTTCAAGTCCTGCTACTCAAGGTGTGGCCTGTGTGCGGACCAGCAGCACAGGGGACCCACTGAATCAGAGCCACACGTTAACACGGGCCCTGCGGGGGACACGGCCCGCGCCTAGCCATGCTGGGGAGCGCCCAGGGCCGTGGGGGCCGGGGCCTGTCCGCTTCACTGCCCCCCGTTCTGCTCACTTCCCTTCCTCCCAACGAGTGGCCCCTTTCAGTTCCTCCACCGAGAGTGCAACCGTTGCTCGTGCTGTGTCCCCGGCCTGCCCCTCACTGGGGGCTGGCACAGTGTCAACTCCCCTGGCCTCCTGGGTGTCAGCCGCGGGAGGGCCTCTGGGCTCCCTGCACATTGTATCCAATGCCCGATCCTGCCCCTCATCACGGTCTCCCCAGTGCCCAGGGCAGCGCCTGCAGCAACTAGGCACTGCCACACGTTTGGTGGGTGATCAAGGAAAACACATCATGGGAGCAGCGGGGGAGGCAGGGTGCAGGTGTAATAGAGTTAAGGCTTTGCCTGGACAACTTTGCAGTTTGGTGTTGTCTCTGATGGGTCTTGCCTGCCTGCACACCACCTTCCTGCCCTGGCCCCGGGGCCCTGCGGTGACCGCCACTCTCTGGTCTGAGCCACAGGTACCGTCTCCACCTGGTCATACCTGATGCACAAGCTCCGCCTCCCCAGCCCAGCAAGGATCTGGGGTGCTACCCCTGACTCCCACCTTTTCTTATCCTGACTCTGAAATACTGGAGCTGCTGCCCGGCCCTCCTGAGTGGCTCACCTGCTCATCTCACCCTGGGGCCTCACTGTCTCTGACCAGCACTCTGCCCCAGCCTCCTGTCTAGTCGCCCCACCATTCTCTGCACATGAGCACAACAGCATTCAGTCACAAAGATGGCCGTGCCCCTGTACCGCCAGATCCTTTCAATGGCAACTCAACGTCCTCGGGTTAAAGACAAAATTTAACAAGGTCGCACCTCACCAAACAGGAACAAACTTGACCACACCTCCTTCATGAAGGTGCCACACTCCCTTTGCCTCTCAAGGTCCCACCCAGAATGCCCCATTCATTCCCTCCTGGTCACGCCACCTCCCCCACCTAATGCCCGACCTTCCTTCAGGTCCCCTCCCGACACCAGCCTCCTGAGGAGCCTCCACCGCCCCAGGTTAGGTGCGCCCGTGGTGAACACGCTGCCTTTCTCGTAGGTGCCACTCAGCACGTGAACACTGGCCGACGTCCGCTTCTCCGTCAGACCGCCTGCCCTGGGCCCGCCTGCCCTGGGCCCGCCTGCCCTGGCACCGAGGCTGTGGTGATCTTTTCCCTGCCATTTGCCAGCACTGAGCACAGCGCTCAGCACACAGTGGGCACTCAATACACTCACGGTTAACAGAGCAAACGGAAGCTCTCACCACAGGCAGCACTGCTGAGTGCTCACCCTTGGGCCTGCCTGCACGCAGCACTCAGCTCCTCAGCCTGCCCTGCCGTCGGGGCTTCCGTCTCCCATCCTGCTCGGTGGGAATCGTGCCTCGCACGCAGCCTATCGGCCGCTGGGGAACCCTGCTCCCGTGCCAGGACTTAGCCTCTCCCACCCTTCTAGTTCAGGCCCCACAATATCCTGATAAAGACTCCTCTCGGGACACAGACCAGCCCTGTGCTGTGCCCACTTACGGGATCCCACCCTGGGTCTCGAGTGCTGCCTCAACAGCTGGAGCTGCCCCGCCCCGGTGGCTGTTGTTTGGAATGTCGTCCCATATCCAAAAGGTTTCGGGTTCGAGTCTCAGTTAGGACACATACCTACATTACAGGTTTGATCTCCAGTCAGGGCATATATGGGAGGCAACTGAACAAGTGATAAAGCAAGTGGGGCAAAAAATATTTAACAGTTGAATCTGGCAGAGGGAATTCTTTGTGTTATTCTTGCCAACTGTTCCCACATAAAAGTCATTGCCAACCCCAAAGGCAGGCATGCTTCCAAACGAGAGTGGACAGCGAAATCAGTGTCTGGACAGACAGAAGTGTCACTGAGAAATGGGAAATAAAGCAGGACAAGAGCACAGACGTTTTAGGATGGGGGGGGGGGGGGCGGGGGCGCGAAGTCCCGGCCATGAGAGGCATCACAGCTCGGACCCCAGGCCGAGCCCGGTGGACCAGCTGCAGCTCCGTCTGGGCAGGAGGGCGATGGCTGACCCCACGCCTTCGGTAGGGTCAGTCTAGGCCAATGATGGCGAACCTATGACACGCGAACTCATTTTTTTGGTTCATTTTTCTTTGTTAAATGGCATTTAAATATATAAAATAAATATCAAAAATAGAAGTCTTTGTTTTACTATGGTTGCAAATATCAAAAAATTTCTGTATGTGACACGGCACCAGAGTTAAGTTAGGGTTTTTCAAAATGCTGACACGCCGAGCTCAAAAGGTTCGCCATCACTGGGCTAGGCCCATCCTAACGCATGTTGCGAGTTTTACTTCCTGACCACACAAATTCGATTCTAGAACAGTTTTTCTAGGTTCTGCACTCATTTTTAACCCACTGAGACTTAGCCTCATATAGGGGATGTTATCAATGCTTTCAAAATGTTTGTGGGAGCTCAAATGGGACACCTTGTTTTCTTGGGTTTTTATTAGGGCATCTAGAGCTTTGCTGTCCAATATGGTGGTCACTGGCCTGGTGTGACTATTGAGTACTTGAAATGTGGCCATAAGTACCAGATTCTGAAGACACAGCAGTCTCCCAAAAATCTTACTTTTTTCCATCACTTATTACTTGCCAAAATGGTTATTTTGAACATGGATACACTGAGCTAAGATATGTTGTAAAAGTTAAATTCACCTGTTTTTTACTTTTCTAATATGGCTACTAGAAAATTTAAAATTAAGTATGTGTAGTCTGACCCTGCTCTCTGGTTAGAGCGTCAGCCCTCACACCAAAGGGTTGAGGGTTCGATTCTGGGTCAGGGGCACGTACCTGGGTTGTAGAGTTCGGTCCTGGCCCTGATGGGGCATGTGTGGGAGTCATGTCTCTCTCACATTAATGCTTCTCTGCCCATCCCCCCTGCTGTCCCTCCCTCCCTTCTAATCTCTCTAAAAATCAATGGAAAATGTGTAGCCTGTGATTTACAAGACTGGCCAATTTATAGTCATTCTTTATATTTCTCTGCCCACATCATATAAATTGTGCAATTATCAGTAAAATTTCATACTAAAACTGCTGCAGAACTAGTAGGTAGATAATTAAAAAAGGAAAAATTAGACACGTGGCTCGGACGTGTTTCCTATTGGACAGCACTGGTCTAGAACACAAACTCTGAACCTCCAGCAGGGGGCAGTCCTCAGTCAGATATTGTTCAAATGAGGAATGAAGTCACCATGACTTCCCACTATTTTCCCTGTGAAAAACTCATAGACTCTAGATCTAGATGACAAAGCCCTAGTCCCAGGTTGTTAGGCTCCACAAAGGGCCTGGCCAAATAAGACCTTTCTCCAACTTTTCCCACGCCTCTGCCAATGAGGAGCGGGGTCCTCTTGCTTTGCCTGTGCACGGCTTCCCCTCAACTCCTCAGGGTGCCAGCAGCCATTTAAACTGGGCAGTCATTCGAGGATGGCTGATGAGCACGACCCTTTCCATTCTTAAAACAAATAGCCAACTCCTCAAGCCATCTGAGAACTAGAAGGCAGGAGAGCCTTCATTTCAAAGGCTACATTCTCCTGCTCCTCCCTCGGATGCATCAGGAAACCAAGGACAGGGCCTTAGGACTCCCCAAGTCCTAATGACGCCTCAGGGACAAGACGATGCTAGGATGAGTTTCAAATGTCACCTGACGACTCAAAAAGCCCTGACACCTCACCCGAGGGAAGAAGCCTCCAACAAGCCCGAACCTCTAATTTCCCTGTTTTTTTGTTTTTGTTTTTTTTTTTTTACTGCTTAATAGAATCCTTAAAAATTGTAAGTAAACACTTGACATTTCCATAAAAATATAAACCATCCCAAGTCTCCTCTCCTCGCCGTGTACCGTGACTCTCTCTAAAGGACAACTAAGAAATCACGGGGTATGTTTGGAGACACACCAGGCAACGCTCCTTTCATGCAGCCACCCCAGCGACAACTGCCCCGGCGGGAGATAAGATGCACGCGTGACTGCCTCCACTCTCTCTAGAGGCAAGAACACAGTCCCCATGTCTTCCTTAAAATGGCCCCGCTCCAGATCAATGCAACTGGGAATTCTGGTCCTGCAGAGGCCAGCGGGCGGCTGCAGAGCCAAGTCAACAGGAGGCCCAGCTCCTGGTTCCTGTCAGCTGTGGCGGCCGAGCCCCCCGACCTTACCTTATCCAAGAGCTCTCGCGTCTCCTCGGTCAGCGGGTCGTGTGAAAACATGCAGTCGTCACCATTGATACAGTTCCCAGTCGTGGGGTATACCTTACACGGAAAATCACGTTCACGGCAAATTAAGGCAAATGCTTCACCTCACGGAACCCACCCGAGGGCAGAACCCGGCCCCGTGTTTTGGAGATGAGGAAACTGGAGCCCAGAGAGGTGCGGGGACTTGCTCAGGGTGGCACAATGGTGAGACCCCAGTTCTCAGACTCTTGCCTCAGAGTGCTTCCCGCCCGACCACGCTGGCCTCGGGGCTGTGTCCTCGGACCCTCCCTCAGCAGGAATAGGGAAGTTCAAAGATGTGCCCAAGGTTCACAGCCAGTTGGAAAGTCTCAGAAAGATAACGGGCACTGGCATAGGCCAGTCCCAAGAGTGTATGTAAAGAGAACATATTAACGTGTGTGCCTCAGTTTACTCATCTGCAGAATGGGAACAGCAGGCCCGTCATAGGACAGATGTGCGGGTTAAGTGAGATGCAGATGCACTGAAAGCTCGACACTGCACTGGCAGGGCGAGAGGAAGCGCAGTGGAGGTCAGCTGTTATTACCGACAAGGAGAGCTCCGCCCCTCAATCAGAGCAGAGGTGGGCGCCAAAGGATATCGTGCATGTAGGGGCAGTTCTCGGCTTTGGCACAACACCTGGTGGTGTAAAACTTGCACAGCTCTCGCTTCTTTGGTAGCTTGATGTCATGGCTGAAGTTACAGTGGTCGCCCTGGAAAAGGCAATGGAAAGGTCAGGCGGTGGTACGGGAAGCCCTTGCTGATCCTTCTCCAAGAAAACGCTCCTCTGTCACCGCTGACGCACAGAGGGACCCACGACAGAATGAAGCCCCTTCCCTCAGGGAGAGGCAGGTTTCCCACCAGCCTCACTTCGGACCACGTGTGTGCTCCCCTGCCTCCCTCTCCCACAGCCTCCTTCCTCCCGTCTCTAGTCCTTGCCTTTCACTGCCTCCTTCTAACTCTTCTCTTTCCTTCCCTTCTTTCTCTTATCTCCTATTTTTCACTATTTACTGCATGACAACCAGTGTCCAGTCCCATGCTTTCTCCTAACAGAACCCCAGTTCTGTTTGAGGAAGAATGTGCCCAGTTAAAAATATTCCATTTCCCAGCTTCCCTTCAAGTTCTGGCCACAGGTGTAGGCAAAAGTCCTTACCAGGACAACACTGCCTCAATTTTTAAAAAATCCCACCACCTATTTTTCTTCCTCTAGCCTTTAGATGCGATGCCTGGAGAACATCAGCCGCTGTGCAACCATGGAGACAAAAGCCACATGCTCAAGCACGGCAAAATTAAGCCGAGGAAGGAGCGTGGTCCCGCAGCGTGCCGCCGACCACTGCACAAGCCTGTGCTGTCTGCCCACCCCTACACTGTTCTGCGGGACAAACACCTATGTGCTTAAGCTAGTGGAGTTGCGTTTTCGTTATCTGCACTATGACACAATCCAAACAAAACAACACAAAGGTAAACTAAAGATAGAAATGGTTGTATACTTGTTTCAAAAGTCTTATTCTCAGGAATGCCTATTCATTTTTCTTTGTTTATATGTATTATGAGCTTCTAAAAATAATATGAATTGACTGTAATAAGGAATATTTTACATACGCATGCACACTTATTGGAAGTACACATTTTTCTAGACATATACAAGGTGCGGTATTTCCTGGGTGCATGTTTCCCAATATCTGTCCACTGACGCTAAATGTGGGGAAAAAGCTGGCTGGCAGCCTTAGCCAGTTTGGCTCAGTAAATAAGAGCATTGGCCTGCGGACTAAAGGGTCCTGGGTTCCATTCCAACAAGGGCACATGCCCAGGCTGTGGGCCTGATCCCCAGTAGGGGGTGTGCAGGAGGCAGTCAAACAATGATTCTCTCTCATCATTGATGTTTCTATCTCTCTCTTCCTCTCCATTCCTCTCTCAAATGAAAATATATTTAAAAAATTAAAAGAAAAAAAAAAAAAGCTGGCTGATTAACATTGGGTTATATTGTTTCCTTCAGAATTCTGTGGCCGCTGGTCCATCTTGTGGCATTCAATTCTGCTGTGAAGTTCAAGGCTGGCCTGATTCCTGCCCCTCCTTTTCTATGGATGTCTTAAAGTTCAGTAACTAGCCAGAATATGTACATCTCTGCACTAGCATCAATCTTAATACATTTGAGGCTGTACAGATTTGTTGAGCTTTGGCCAAAAATATCCTCCCCAAACCAGAAAAACCCAGATGTCCTGCTGCTCCGGCCCCTCAGTCCCTCTGAGAAGAGAACCGAGTCTTCCAGGCCCCAGAGGCACCTCACCTCTCGGTAGTCAACCATTCCCACCAGCACCGGCCCTGCCCAATGAGGTGGCCTCCAGAGCGTGCCAGGGCCCCTGTGTCCTCTGGGAGGTTGCTGCCCTGCTCAGCACCCAGATCCTTTGACCCCTTACCCATGTGCACCGCCCCTCCACGAAGTATTTGCAGATGACTTTGCCTTTCTTGTCAGACTGTTGATGGGGCTTGTCATGGTCACGGCTCCGGTAGCTTCCGCCGCCATCCTGTTAGGGACACAGAACACAGAGTGTGAATGTAACTAAGGGAATGAAAAGCGAGGGCGGTGAGGGCCCCGCGGGTCAGGTGGGGGCCATCTGAGTGAAGAAGAGAACAGGAGTTGTCTAGCAGCCAGCTGCATCTGACACCGAGGCCACAGGAGCCGGAGCCCACAGTATGGAGTGCTGCTCGGGTAAGAAAAGCTCTGGCACCTGGAGCTGCTGGCCATGAAGACTCGCACACACACTTGTGCAGGAACACATCCACCTCCTGGAGGCAGAGGCACGTGCCTTCCTGTAAAACTCTCCAGGGATAACTGAGTGGGCCACCTAGAACCTTCTAAGTCTTAGAGACTTGTTCGGGGTGACTGCAGGTGCTACGAAGACGTGGTTTTAAAAAACAGTGTCTTACCCTGGCCAGTGATGCTCAACGGTTGGAGCGTTGGCCAGCACACCGAAAGGTCGCCAGTTTGATTCCTAGTCAAGGGCATGTACTAGGGTTGCAGGTTCAATCCCCAGGCCCTGGTTGGGGTGCGTGTGGGAGGCAACCAACCAATATGTCTCTCTCACATCCATGTTTCTCCCCCCACCTTCTAAAAATCAATGGGGGAAAAAATATCCTCGGGTGAGATTAACATTAAAAAAAACCACACACACACACAACAAAACACAGAGAGAGGGTCTCGCTAGCAGTGCATCGCTATGAGAGATGATTAGTGCTTACTGGCCCTATGGGGACGGCTCCTGGGAGCAGGGGCCAGGCTCAGCCTCAGAGGACAACTCATTAAAGAGAAAAAATATCCAAGGAGGGGCCTTGGGTAAACACATCAGGTCAGAATGAAGAGCTGACTCACGCCCATGTCATCATCATAGAAGTCTTCATCATCGTTCATCCCGCCCTTGTTCATCCCTCCTCGGCTGCCACCTCGACCTCGGCCACGGCCCATCCCTTTGCCTCGGCCTCGGGAACCCCGGCCACGGCCTCGATTTAGCCCTGCGGAGGAGAGAAATGGCATCAACCACTGCCTGTCCCCAGAACCCAACTCGAACAGCTGCCAGAGGGAGCCCCACCAACTCGTCAACTTCTGGGCCTGCCCACCTCGTCCTCGGCTGTCCTTGGACCGGCGGTACTGGTTTAGCTCCTTGGAATAGTCGTCGTAATCCTCGTCTCCCATCGGTTCCTCACTTTCTCCATACTGGGATTTCAGGAAGAAGAAAGGTGTCACATGGGGAACAATGAACGCGGTCCCTAACTATACATTTTGCCCCCTTTGCCTTTTGGTTTCAAGGACAACCTCAGGCTCAGAATAGCAGGTGAGAAATCTGGGCCTCAGGCCTGTGTCCCCTCCTCACGTGACCCAGCCTGAGCATGGGTGGTCTTAATCCTCTCTGTGCAGTCGTCGGTCTTAAAACTCCCACCCCCTGGGCAAATCCATCAGGGCACCTCTGTACACAATGGGCAGCTGTGCCGCTGTAACAGGACTGCACAGAAAGGTCTCGGCAGGGACACGGCATGAGTGTGGCAGCTCTCTGTGACAGAGGAGTGTGTGTGCCCGTGCGCAAGCACACAGCACAGCGAGTAAATAAGCCCCCAGCTGCAAAGGCCTAAAACATTTCCAGAGCCACTCGGGAACCCTGTCTCCAGGGACGGGAATTAAGTCGCTGGAAGAAGATGTAATTTTCACAGCTCACCCTTTGGTATCTGTTCAGTTTGAATCATACGAAAGTTTTTTCAATTTCAAAATCATACAGGAACATTTAAAACACATACGCCTGCCTGTCATCTGATGCTTGCTTTCCTTAGCCTTACAGGCCACCCCCCACAGGACATGCAGCCCACCAGCCATCCCCCGGCTCCCCGGGCAGTAGAAAACCTTACATCCATCTCATCTTCATAAAAGTCGTCTTCGTCTTCTGGGTGGTCTCCCATGGAGCCTCTGCCCCTGCCTCGGCCGCCCCGGCCCATGCCTCGGCCCCGAGACCCTCCGCGGCTTCCTCGGCCCCGGTAGCCCCTGCCACGGCCTCGACTGCCTGCACGGTGATTCAGAAAGTGAACGCCTGAGCGGGAGTAGACCCCACCAACAAGAGAGATGTTAACCCATTGTTTGCCTCTGAGGTCAATCATTTCACCTTCCTCTCCTCCTCCAAGAAGCCTTCCCAGCTTCCCCAGGCAGACTAATGGTTCCCCTGGGCCCCTTGATGAGGTGCCTCAGCATTGCAGGCACATGACTGATACAGCACTCACTACACTGAAAGCTGCACTGTACGATATGGTAGTCACCAGCCTCATGTGGCTTCTGAGCACCGGAAACGGGGCTGACCAAACCAAAGAGATGCTGTGAGGGTAAAGCATGTCTGGACTGCAAAGACTCAGTGGGGAAAGAAGAGGGAATGTAAAATATTACATCTGCCTAGTTTGCAAACGTTGTTGAAATAAGCTTTTGAATGTATAGGGTAAATAAAATATACTGTTAAAATTCATTTCATCTATTTGCTTTTACTTTTTAACAGTGACTACTAGAAAACTAAGTCACATGGTGGCCTGCATTCTGCTTCTACAGGACAGCACTAATCTAGAATCTCCCCGAAGAGCAAGGCCTGTCCAGGGAGGTGTGCGTGAAAGACGGCTGAAAAAAAGAAGGGATAGACGGCCACTCAGACAACAAGCTGGGCCTTAGGCGGGGATACGAACCTCTGAGCTAGAAGGTTCTGGAAGCCCCCTGGGGGTGGAAAATCTCACTGGCAGGAGATGGTTCTAAGAGGGTAGGCTGGGCCTCTGGTGCTCTGCCCTCCCCTCCCATCCTTCCAACTGCCAGAGTTCAAGGTTCAGAGGTGTGGCCGGCCCACAGGCCGCAGACACACCTTGTCAGGTGATATGAGCTGAGGATGGGGGAGGGGGCTGCTGAGGGCTGTGGCATCCAATTGCCAGGCACCCTGGCCCAGGTGTGAGAAGCCGTCCCTCTTCTTTCCCCTCATCCCTCTTCTTTCCCCTCGCTGCGGACCAGGAAGTGAGTTTTCCCTCTCCCTGCCTCATACCAGCCTGGCTCCATCCCAGCCAGGGCCTCAGCGCTGGCCTTCTGCTCACATGGCTAACTCCCCCAAACCCTTCCTTCCCTGCTTATCTCAGCCCTAAACGACCGCCCGTCTCTGCTCCTGGACTGGAGGCTCCGTGAGCAGGGACAACCAGGCCTGTCCCAGTCTGCACCGCCCCTCAGCCCCCAGCCCCAGGTCTGCTCAGACCCCCTGGAGCAGAAGCTTGGGGTCTCACCTCGGCCCCGACTGCTGCCCTCCTTGGCACGCCGGTACTGGTTCAGCTCTTTGGTGAAGTCGTCGTAGTCCTCCTTGCCCATATCCTCTTCCTCGTCGCCCTCATACTCCCCGTACTGCTCGTTATCATAGTCGTCGTACATGCCGTAGCCTTTGCTGTCCATCTTGGAGTAGGACTTCTTGGGCAGGGACGTGCTGTGTGACGGGGGGTACTGCTGGTGGGACTGCCAGGGAGAGGAGGGTGAGCAGGCCCCAGGGCCTTGGGTGCAGACGCCAAGACCCTCACTATCCCTGGGAGAATACCATCCTCGACCTCCTGGGGGACTGGTCCCCACCTGAGTGAGATCTAGGCAGTAGGCCCAGATGTTTCTGTTCTTCAGAAAGGGCCACAGCTTGAAAGAAAATGGAGAACGGACCCCACAACCCCTGAAGAACAAGGGAGAAAGTGTGTGTGTGTGTGGGGGGGGGAGATAGGGGTTATGTCCCAGGGCTATAGAGCAATCTCGTTTGGGGAGGAGGCCTGGTAGGCAGAAGGGGTGCTTCCTGGTCAAAAGTTTCCTGGGGTCTTGGAATTCAATTAATTACCTGCTTGGCAACCAAACTAGAAAGCCATTTCAAATGATGCTTTCCAAAGTGTGCTGGTGCCAGGAGACACTGGATCAAGTTAAATATATATTTTATATATCACACACACACAAATGGAAGCCACCAAAATGTCCTCAGGCAATGAATGGATAAACCAACTGTGGCACATCCAGACAATGGAGCATTTATTATTCAGCAATTTAAAAAAGTGAGCTATGGAGCTATGAAAAACAGAGCAGCCGTCAACTATGCTGCTAATTGACAAAAGCCAATCTGAAAAGGCTACAAACTGTATGGGCCTGACTGACATTCTGGGAAAGGCAAACCTCGAGACTGTAAAAAGACTGGTGGTTGCTAGGGGCTCAGGGAGGAGGAAAGCAGAGGGGATTTTTAGGGAGTTGAGACTATTTTATATGATAGTGCATGGTGAATACATACCCTATACATTTGTTAAAACCCAAAGAACTATAAAACCCTAATGTAAAGGTTTGAACTCTAATAATGAGTCAATATTGGCTCCTCAATTACAACAAATGTATCAACCACATTAATGCAAGATGTTAAAAACAGGAGAAACGGGGTGGAATAAGGAGGGAGTTGTACTATCTGCTTAATTTTCTATGAACCTCAAACTGCTTTAAAAAACAGTCTATTAATTTAAATAACCCACACTCATTATAAAAAAGAGAGAGAGAGAGAAAATACAAAACATAGTTAGCTAGACATACACAACCACTTTAGCAGATCTTAAAATGCCCAACACCAGCTCCCAATTAAAGCTCAGTGTTTCCTCCGTTCCCTGCCTCCCTCAGGTTTACAGTCTGAATCTCCGTTAGGTCAATGTCAACTATACCTGACAATAAAGTATCTGTAATAATGGGTGGTGCTGAGTCACATAATAACTGGGGCATCTTTAAGAGCTACTAGCTTTGAAAGTATTTTTAAAAATCAAAACTCAAAAAGCTATGTTGCCGAAACCGGTTTGGCTCAGTGGATAGAGCGTCGGCTTGCGGACTGAAAGGTCCCAGGTTCGATTCCGGTCAAGGGCATGTACCTGGGTTGCGGGCACATCCCCAGTGGGAGATGTGCAGGAGGCAGCTGATCGATGTTTCTCTCTCATCGATGTTTCTAACTCTCTATCTCTCTCCCTTCCTCTCTGTAAAATATCAATAAAATATATATTTAAAAAAAAAAAAAAAAAAAAAAAAAAAAAAAAAGCTATGTTGATGTTTTTTCTTATCAGTTTTGCTGGGGGGGCAGATAGCTTACTAACTGAATAGATAATTTAACTTTATGTTTGCTTAAGGTCAGAGATGCAATTTATTCCTATAACCATTTCACTCTCTTGCTAATTTTCCACAAAAGTCATTTCTGAACAGTGTCAAACAGTCAGCTATGACGGGGACAAGTCAGCATCTTTCTCGGGGATAGGGGACAGGAGACACGCGGCAAAGGCCACCGGAAAAGGTGGCATCGAGAAGTGCTAACAGCATGGCTTCTAGAGATCAGTCACGCACTGGGTTCAAACCCCCATCCCTGCGCTTCAGGGCTGTGAAACCTGGCTGAAGTTTCTAAGTCTCGGTTTTCTCACCTGTAAAATGGGGATAAAGGCAACACCTAATCTGCCCAGCTGGTGTGGCTCAGTGGTTGAGCGTCGACCTATAAACCAGGAGGTCACGGTTCAAATCCAGGTCAGAGCACATGACTGGGTTGCAGGCTTGATCCCCAGTAGGGGATGTGCAGGAGGCAACCAATCGATGATTCTCTCTCATTATCGATGATTCTATCTCTTTCACTTTCCCTTCCTCTCTAAAATCAATAAAAATACATTAAATATATATATACACACAACACCTAATCTTGCAAGGTTAAAATCCATGTCAAGTGCCATGCAAGAATGCCCGGCAGTGGGCAAGGTGCTTAGTAAAGCACAGCAGGTTTACTCCACGGAGCCCCCGGCCAGCAGTCACTCACCGGCACGTACGGGGGGCTGTACTCTCTTTGCTTGCGGTGCCCCTTCTCGCTGGGGCTGAAATCGGAGTCATCGGAGAAGTCGGAGAAATCATCGCTGGAGGATGCATGGCGCTGCAATGACAGGGGAAGTGGACTTAGCGATTCTGCTGCAGGCAGGTCACTCTGGCAGTCAGCCCCGGGGAAAGCACTGCTGGAATGTGCCGGAAGGGCTCTGTGCTCTCCGTGAAACACCTTACCTACGGGCATTTAGCAGCAATGGAGCATGAGCTATTGATCCAATTTGAGGACGGAAAAAACAACACTATTAGAGTGCTCTTTGGCCTGACAAGACAAGCTCGGCCCCTGGGGCTCTCCGCCAGGCCCAGGCCCGTGAACCCTCCGGACCTACCTTGTGCTTAGATTTCCTCCTCTTTTTCGATCTTCTCTTCTCTTTCTCCCGCTCTTTCTTCCGCTTCCGTTTCAGCCTCCTGTGAGACTTTTCCTCGTCTGAATCGCTGTGGTGCTTCTCCCCTTTTTCTTTCCGGCTCCTCTCAGGGCCTCCAGGGGTGTCCTGGGTCTCCTCTGCCCCATCATCCTCCAGTTCACCTTCTTCCAACTCACCATCTTCCCTACAATCCAACCCCAAAGCCAGCATGAACACAGGTTTGAGAGGAACACAGGCCCGAGGGCTCTGGGCTGGCCAGGGCTGGCAGGAATGGAGGGCCTGACTGCCGTGAGAGAGACCTGGAATCCCTGCCAGAGGCCTTGGCGGGACCTGGGGTCCACTGCCCCCCATCCCACCCCGCCCTCCTCCTAAAGGACTGCATCTGCTCTCAGCTGTCCTGGCTAGGGCTGGGGCTGCGGCTGGGGGAGGGGACAGGGACCGACGCGGTGGGAGCAGTATTTCCCAAACTGTTCCCTAGGACTAGAATTCTAAGAAGAAAAGTGACGAGGTTCTGTGGTCAAGTTAGTTGAGGGACTCCCCACCTTGGGGAACCACAATGCTTAATGCTGTAACAGAAGTTCCAAGTCCTACAGTCAAGAAACCTGTACATCTTGGCTTCAGGGCACTTCTGAGATGCACATGACCACAGAGGCTGCTTCTGTCACGGAACACGGACCAGCATCCCTCCCAGGCGCAGTGGCCTGGGGTCGCCACTGGGCCCCAGAGCTATGGATGTTCCCTGTGAGCTGAGGGTGGTAGCTGTGCACAGTGGAGAGAAGGCCATGCTTCTGATCCAGGGGTGGCCTGCAGATTCCTGGGCCCTACCCACAGGCAGGCCCGAGGAAACACGAGTGACAGGCTCTGGGGTCTGGCCCACACCCTCAGCTCCATGGCTCTGGGCTGGAGGCAGGGGGGGGACTGAGTGGCTAAAAGGTGTGAGGGGAAGGGTCCCAGGCCCCAGACCCCCTGTGAGGTCCTCACATGACAGCAGTCAGAGTGCCTGCAGAGGGGTCAGCCCCCACCTGCAGCTCACCCTGTTTCCCAGCTGACTTGCCTCACTTCTGGGTATCCCTTCTGGCCCCCCAGTCTAGATTTTCTAACTTTTCCACTCCCCCCAATACCACCCTACCCTAGTTATTAAAAAACAGAAACGTTCTCCTGACATGACGGATGCTGCGAATAGGACTCTAAATGTCTAAATATCTATGGGGTATGGGGTGGGAGGGTTGGGGATAAATAGGGTTAAGAAAGGAATAGCTGGGAAAAGAATCCAGTTTTTGAGCCAAACCCACAGACACAGTACTCACAAGCACAGAAGCTGGTTTTTAAAAAATAAAAATTAAAAAATTTTTAAATGTTCTCAAAGTTCCTCATGCATGACATGGAAAAGTATGTATGAGGGCATAAAAAAATGACTTCTTTATCAATTAAACAGGACCCAAACCAAATGAAGATAACAGAGCAATGTAATGAAGGGACCCAAAAGGCTACCAAAGGGAACTAATCTGGGCAGAAAAGGCCTCGGCCGCTCAGATGGGCCCAGGGTCGGGGTGGAGATAAGCTCATCAGGCAGCTGGCCCGGGAGTGCCCGGCTCTCTCAGGCTTTGTGGGGAAACGACGAACTGACGACTTCTCCGAGGACCTTCACAGACCTTCCACTGTGTCGCTCCCTTTGTCTGCCTTGGTGCTGCTCCCTAAACATCAAAACCTTCAAGAAGGGCTGTGTACACTCTCATTCCCAGTTCAGAGGGGTCAGATCAGCTTAAAATAAGTGGCCCAGCCCCACCAGATACCCCAGCAGAGGTCAAGGGCAACTCTCAAACACAGAATGCTAGACACAAAACTTGAATGTTTCAAAGGAAACAACACAGAGAGATGACCCATGTGCTTCTCATGTTGTTTCCTTGTAAAGGGCCAGGTTGCCCTGGGCTGGCCCCACAGGAAGACGCCCAGTAAACTCTGGAGAAGGCAGCATTCCTGACAAGTGAGGCACCTTCCGGGTGGGGTGTGGCCCACAGAACGAGGGGTGGCACCAAGCAAAGCTCTCCCGGGACGAAGGCAATTCTGCTGGAATGGCCTCACCCACAGCAAAAGTGCCACTTGACTGGGGAAACTGGTTTTGGCCAGCTCACCAACCCAAGGGAGACGCTGCTATTCAATGGCATGGCCAATTCCTGCTGTCTGGAGTTGGGGAAGTCACTGGGAGAGTGGTTTCTGGAGACAAGAAGATGTGTGCCTGAGGGGAACACTGGGGCGGGCCAGGTGACCTCACCTCAGAAGAAATACCGGGAGAGCCAGACAGACTAGACAGGCAGACACACAAGGGAGCTGGGGAAGGCCCAGAGACAGATCGGAGAGGTAGAGGCTGGTATCCGCGAAGAAAAGCTATAAAGAGCATCCCTCTCAACACTTTAGTCTGGAAAGGAAAAAGCTGAGAGGGACACGGGCATAAAGTACCCAGAATCCCAGGACAGGGATGGAGGGAACATAGTTTGAGAGGAACTGCCTAGGCTCCTAGAAGTCCAGACAAAAGACATAAAGCCCAAGACTGCCAACAGCAAAAGAGCTTTCCGGAACCAGGAGGAAGCCCGCAGAGCAGAAGGGATAGTGGGACGCCATCACCCTTTGCTTTCAAATAGGAGGGAGAGTAGGTGAGGGGGGACTAGTGGAGGTCAGACAGCCGGGGGTGACACGAAAAGCACCAGAACTGACTCGTTTCCCGCCCCTAAGCCCGCTGTGCTTCCTGATCAGTGAGGCGGAGGGGAGACCTCTCATCCACCGCCTACTTAGTGCCACAAACATTTCTGAGCATCTTCTCTGTGCCCGGTCCTGGAGCACCTCCTTTTCTGCATTCTCCAAATAGGAAACGATACAAATTACAAGAAATCCAGTCCACAAGGAAGCCTCTGTGATACAGGCCTCTGGCAGCCGAGCCAGGGTGGCTGGCACCTCCCGACACTCTCTCACCCGTGCCCGCTCCTGGGCAAGGACCCCGGGCACAGCAGGCGAAGGTCTTGCCCAGGGGCAGCTTAGGCCTCCATCCCTATCCTGCTGCTGCACATTGATTTAGACCAAGGCACAGGCTGCTCTACATCTGACACCTGCGGGTGGGACCGCAAAAGACCACCAAAGAGCTCCAAAGCCTTTGCCATCATCAGGAATGATCGCAGAAGCAAGCCTTTCAAATGCCAAAGGACGTACCCAGACAGGTGCACGCCACAGACTTTCAGCCAAAGAGTTCTCTGCATTATCTGTATGAACAGCCCCCATCATATCTGGGCTGAGACACTACCATAGGACTTTTTCACACAATGTTTTACAAAACGGGTAGTGAATACTGGAACCTTTGTTTCCTTAGATTTGGGAGAAGCTGAAAAATAAATAGGATTTAAAAAAATCTCTGGTGATTTGTGAAGGGGAACAGGATACTGGAGGGGACACTGGGACAATCACGTTCGATTGGCCACTGCGCATTCTCAGTGCCATCTGGCCGCCCCATGCTCTCAAAACTCCTCAGAGCCCTAGGCAAACTTCTGTCCACCTGAGAGGGTGCCCTCTGCTAACAATGGGGAGTCCCAGCTAAACGTCCTGCATGCATACGGGGCCTATTTCCTTCGGACTGTTCAACAGAAAGAAAATCAAACTAAGCGGGACAGGTAGAAGCCTGAGGGCCACCAGAAGGACTGCACAGGGCAGTCTCCACAAAACAGCAACCAGGGTTAAGCAGCGCCACTTCACAGGCTGCCAGCAAAATCCACGTCAGAGCGGGATTAAATACCGAGGGAGCACGCTTAATAGACTGTGACATAATCCCCCAAGAAAAGTGGGGAAGCCCCGCTGCGCTAATCATTTCAATCAAGCTCTCTTGAGACCAGCATGCAGGAGGAACCCTGCAGCGTTCGGCCTGGGCAGAGACCACCTTATTCCCAGAGCAATGCCCCAGGACGGCTGCAGCAGGGCCGACCGCCCTGCCCGAGCCATCAGGGACAGGAAACCAGCCGTGCCTGCAACAGGCACCTGGGAGGCACTGGGAAGAAGTCACCACCTTGCCTAGAGTCAGATCTGCCTTTCAACTCCTAGACTAAACTTCCGGGGCAGTTAAGTTTCCATTAGCAGAGCTGGTGACAGCCAGCTCCTCCTCTCAGGTCAAAGACTATATCTGGATGCCCCTTCAGCCACAGGACAGAGAAGCATGTTGGGTTCAAACACATACCATGGGCTTGGCAAAGACAGTACTTTTTCCGAGTTTCAAAGTAGGCCGGCCCCACCTACCAGCCTACAGATTTGGGCATCTGGTTTTTTTCTGCAGACCAAGTAACTCAACTAGTTCTTCCTCTTCCCCAGAGTATACTCTTGGTATATATAACCCCAGCCTTGGTTTTCTCATCTGTAGAATGGGATAACTATAATACCCACCTCAAGGGGTTAAAGGAGATAATATGGACAAAGCCCTTGACATGGAGGCAGGCACAGAGTAAGTATCAGACAAACAGTAGCTACTGGTTTTAAGAACCAGCTAGCATGAATGTACCTCTGCAGAGATTAACTCTACATTACTGGCTGAATGCTCACTGGAAAGCATTTCTCTAAGGAAACGCTACAACTTCCCCTTGGGACCACTGCTAACTGCTGGCCAACAAGGTCCCAACTTCTCTTGATCCAATACCATCCTCTCCTAACAAATCCTGGTGAAACTGACAAATGGACATCTCCCCTTTTTCAGCTCTAATCTAGGCGGTACCAGAGAGTAATAACCAAGTGGCTGACCAGGAGGGAAAGGCGCAGGGAGAGCTGAGCCCTAGGGAGAAGGGACAAAGGTGCCTCACACAAATAAAGCTTGGCAACATGGAAATTCTCCAGTCGAGAGGGATGGAAGTTCAAAGGGGCTTGGGCTTGTGAATCCACCTGGCTTAGAGAGGGGGGAGGGGGGAGGGGGGAAGGGGGAGGGAGGGGGGGGAAGAGAGAGAGAGAGAGAGAGAGAGAAAACAACAAAGATGGAAACTCATGGGAGCAGTGGCTATTACCTGAAGATCATGAGAGCCCTTGACAAGAGACGGCTAGGTTAATGTGAAGGTCAGGGTTACGACCATTAACTGCCCAAACTCTCAACAAATTGCCTGGGTAGGCTCTGAATGACCCATTAACTAGGGACAAAATTACGAAAATTACAAGGAAGCTCTGCCT